TCTATATTCTATTCTAATTCTATTCTATTCTATTCCTATATATTCTATATTCTATTCTATATGCTATTCTATGCTATTCTATTCTTCATTCCAGTATCTATTCTATTCTATTCTATTCTATTCTATTCTATTCTATTCTATTCTATTCTATTCTATCCTTCATTCCAGTATCTATTCCATATTCTACTCTATTCTATTCTGACTTTCAAGACCTCTGCAGGAAGGGCATTGAGCCAGGGGGAGAATGCCTTCCTCTATTTATGAACTGTGATTTAGTTTTCAGGTCTGGCGCATGTAAAGAAGCGCATCTATTAAGCAGCTTGTCCATGTCATGGGGGATCAAGTTCAACCCAAGGTTTTCTTTATGTTGATCTTTTTTAATACTGTGCAAACATTACAATTCAGCATTCCGGCCAGGCAGTCATTTAATTCCTCTCTGTTATTTGTGGCTGCTGACTTCCTCTCTTATCAGTTTCTAAATCCATTAAAAAAACACACACACACACAAAACAGCCTTTGCATTTCTGTAAGCTTATTCCCCACTCTTGTTGATGTTTGATTCCAGCTTCCTAAAGGTCCCTGGGTTCTGGTTTTTGGGGTCTCCCTACAAAAATTTGCTATTAAAGGGAGAGAGGAAATGTTTTATTTCAGATGTATTTGTGGGGTGTGTGTGTATCTCTCTCCCCAGCATGGAGAAAATACAGTATACCTTATGCTGAGATATTACTTCCCTTGAGCAGCGAGTTGCTTCCTCCGACTTCTACAAACTCCCCATTTCTATATTTTGTGGTGTATAGGTAGGCCTCGACCTACAACATTCGTTTAATGGCTGGTCGAAGTTACAATGGCACCGAAAAAAGCAACTTATGACCGTTTTTTCCGCTTAAGACCATTGCAACATCTTCATGGTCATGTGATTAAAATTCAGAGGCTTGGCCACTGGCATGTACTTATGACAGTTGCACTGTCCTGGTGTCATGTGATCATCATTTGTAACTTTCCCAGCTGGCTCTCCACAAGCAAAGTCAATTTGGGGGAAGCCAAATTTGTTTAACAATTGCCTGGTTTACTTAACAACACCTGCGATCCGCTTAACAACTGTGGGGAAGAAAAAGGTTGCAAAATGGAGCAAAACTTACTTAACAACTTGCCTTGCTGAGCAACAAAAGATTTTGAGCTTAATTGTGGTCGTAAGTCGAGGACTACCTGTAATACATTTTCAGTAAATTTGGAAATACATACATGTAATCTTTGCTTAAGGGCCTGAGCTGTGACTGAGAATACAGTACTGTAGAAAATACACTATTTTGTTCACATGCTGATAAAGGAAAGCATTATTAACACATGTGGACTTGAGGGTAATTTTCCCATTGTCATTTTATGGTCACCTTGAATGTTTTCTTCCATTCCTGTCCATTTCTACAGGGAGGAAAAACTCACATCATCTTTAATTCTGTTTTTATTTTCTTCCCCAATTTCCTACCTCTTCCTCCTGCTAATCTTTTTATCTCTTTTCTCAAGAGGCTCTGGCACTGTTCTGCCACAGGCACTCATCATCTTTTCCTACAGTTTCCTGGAATTAGTTACAATATTTGTCCCACTGTGTCTCTTGTTTATTTTTAAAAATGAATGTGAAAAGACTTACAGATCAATACAGGCAGTCCTCAAATTTATAGCCACTACTGAACCCAGGATTTCCATTGCTAAACAAGACAGTTGTTAAGTGAACCCCATTTTATAACCTTTTTGCCATGTTTGTTAAGTGAATCAATGCAGTCATTAAGTTAGTAACATGGTTGTTAAGTGAATCTGGCTTTCTCTTTCTGGGCATAAAAAGTGATCCCGTGGGGCACTGCAATCGTCAAAAGTACATGCCAGTTGCCATGTGTTCTAATTTACTTTACTTTACTTTATTGTCATTGTACCTCATACAATGAAATCAAACACCATATTCAGCGCACATCATGACCATGAAAATAAACACAAACACACATCCTTCACCCTCCACGCATTGAATTGAAAACCTTGATATTGCATTAATATTGCACTATACAAGCAGAATTCAAAAGAGCTACTGCCCTGGGATAGAAGCTGTTTTTCAGCCTATTTGTCCTTTGTTTTTATTATTCTGTACCATCTGCCAGATGGTAGTAGTTCAAAAAAAGGGTTCCCAGGATGAGATGGATCTTTGAGAATGTTTTGAACTTTCTTAAGGCAGTGGGAGCTATAAAGCTCTTCCAAAGAGGAGAGAGAGCAACTAATGATCCTCTGAGGGGCAATGATATTAACCCTCTGGAGAGCTTTCCTATCTGCCACTCTGCAATTGGCAAACCATACAGAGGTGCAGTAAGTTAAAATGTTCTCTATGGTGCAGCGGTAGAAGGTCACCAGCAGTTTCTCATTCAGTTGTTGTTTTCTGAGAAGTCTCAGGTAGTATAATCTCTGCTGGGCCCTTTTGACCAGGGCTGCAATGTGGGCACCCCAGGTCAGGTCCTCTTTTAGGGTAACACCCAGAAACTTAAAACCGGCTACTTGCTCCACTCGGTCTCCAGTGATAAGCAAGGGCTGGATGTCTGATCTGTTCCTTCTATAGTCCACTATAAGCTCCTTGGTCTTACTGGTGTTGAGGACCAAGTTATTGTCTCCACACCACGAAAACAACCGGTCCACCTGATCACCTGGAGAAACTTCCAATGGTCATAAGGGGGAGGGGGAAATGTCACTTTTTGTAAGTCCCATTGTAACTTCAAATGGTTACTAAACGAATGGTTGTAAGGTAAGGATTATCCGTATCCAGAATCATGAACCCAGGCCGTGGGATACAGGCCTGCAAAAATTGGACCTGCTTAAATCTGGGACTCTATTGTCACAGCCTCCTATTTGAACTTCCTGTGAATGAACGGCAGAAGATCACAAAGAAGTTTCCTTTGGTTCTCGGCTACTGGCAAGAGAGCCTGCAGGATGCCCTTCTCTGCCTTTGGATCAGGAACTGTCTTTTAATCTAAATATCTGGGTTCCTCGGGACACTTTTCGCAGACCAAGGCCAAATTATATGCTCATTGCAGGCTCACTGGTTCGTGGTTTAAGAAAGAAAGTTTGTATTGCCAGGCAACTAGGAGGGAGGGAAGGAAGAATAAAGAAAAGGAGGGAGGGAGGAAAGGTGGATAAAGGAGGGAAGAAGGAAGGAAAGAAGGAAGGAAGGTATTGTTACTGAAAAAAAATATGTGGGATCCTTGGTCCCCTGATTGTTTTCTTGCAGATGTTTCATTACCCAACTAGATAGTATCTTTTAACTGCTAGCAAAAAGAACACCCCAGCCCTAGCACTGATGAAGTGACCTAGTTGGCTACTGAAAAGTCTGCAAAAAAAAAAAAAAAACCAACCCCAGCCAACCTCAGAGAGCACCAAGGACCCCACAGTTCAGCCATCTGCTCCAAGTATTCTCTTTTATTGGCATTTAAGAAATAATAATGGCGATAATGCAAGGAAGGAAATGCCAGAGAGAAGAAACCTCTCGGCTCAGAAGCCTTTTGTGAAAAGCTAGGAAAGGTAGAGAGATAAAAGTCCAAAGCATATTCCTTCGAGAACTCGGCCTCTGAATTCTCAAGTTTCTAGATCGCAGTTTGGTATGGCTAACCCCCCCCCCTCACACACACCCCACATCTCTCTCTCTTTCACACACACACACACACACACACACACACACACACACACACACACACACACACACAC